CTCACATGTTTTACTTTTGATGTAGGAATTGAATTAATTATAAAGTTAATAAAAGCTGTTGTGTGAAAATTGAATTAAGCAAATGTTTTAAAGTTGAGCCAATGGAGGCATATTTGTATTTATCAAAGTTAATTAAGCAAAAGAGAGTGTTTAACTTTATGGAATATATGTAAATTTATCATTTTAAAAAACTGGCAGAAACGTTGGAAAATAAACTCTCAAGCACAGGTTGGGTGGTTTTAAAAACCGCTACTAAAAACCCCTCAAACCGTCATGGTGGTTAACCTCAAAAACGCTACGAGGTTTACTCTATAACCGCTACCCTGAAACTCCAAGCAGACCCTTAATGTTTTTCTCAATCTTTCAAATGAGTAATAAGTCATGTATGCTTTTACTAATCACGCTACAATTAGACAAAGATAAAGAAATAATCATGAGGATGATAGTACGGAAATACAAAAAAATTTGTGCCAAAAAACTCTAAATTACTTGAGAAACTAGAAATATTTGATTAAACAAGAAGATATGCAGCTACGAGTAATCTACCCGCAAGTTAAAAGATGTAGTAACAATTTGAAGCATAAATCATTATCTTAAATAACTTTATAAATATTTTATTTATGTATATTTTTAATGACATAGTATTTTTTTTTTACAATATACAAATAATTATTACTGTAGAAAGACATCTTTCTTAAGAAGAGAAATAGAAAAATTATAACTTATTACAATGTAAAGCTAATTCTATTTATAACTATCCTAAATTGAGAATATATTTTTTTTAATTATATAGAGTTTATTTCTATATAAGTATCATTATAGAAAAGTTTTACTGTATTATATAAAAAAATATATTTTAAATAAAAAAATAAATTCATAAAAGCATGCAATTTTGACCATTTTTTTAAAGACTGAACACGTGTTAACTACAAAATTGTGCACGAGCTCACGTGCTTAGGAGTGACTAGAAACACAGAACCTCGCTAGATCGTCAAATTCACCAACCTAACTCTGGACGGAGACCTTCCGGTCCGAAACGAAACAAACCCGATTTCGTCTTCATTCGCAAGTAAACGCCAAAATTGTTACAACATGTATATAACGGCGTGCCTTTCCCATACTCTGTGGCAGTTCACATTCATTTATTTATTTTCTTTTCATAAACCTTCAACAAAAAGGTTTATTACTTCACGTCTCTCGAAAACTGAAACCCCATAATTGATCCGGTGTGGTTAATACGGTGAAGATGGGTGTTGATCTCGAATCTTTATCGGAAGCAACTTCAGGTGCTATAGGACACTGTTGAGCACAACGATTTTGTACCCGCTTGACACGTGTAAGACCAAGTACCAGGCTGAGGTCAAAGCTCATGGCCAGCAGAAATACGGTTCTCCGTCTCAGTTTTTTATTGTTTTGATCTGTTTGTTGTTTCCTTATCTGGGTCTTGTGTTTTTTTATTTTAATATTTTTTTGTGATCTCTGTGTTCTATGTTTTGTTGTTTGTCTGATCGTGATGTGTGATCTTCTAAGTGTGGATGAGGGCAGCTACAATTTATGTTTTGTAAATGTTCTTCATAGTTATGTTTACCTTGTTCGTTATATCTAATTTGAAGGCAATATATTTTTCGAATTGCAATGATTCTCTTGTGAATTTCGGCTGTAATTTTTGGAAGAAAAAATGTGAATCGATGACAAAATGGCTGCCTTCGTTGACCAAAACTCTATTTACAGTAAAATAATAATAGTTTAAAGGAATCAGGCTAGGTCATGAGCTCAATGTGCTGGGGTTAACGACCTAGTTGGTGTAGTTGTTGTAGCTGCGAGTGAACTGAAAATAGAACTACTAAAAATTGACTTTGCAGTCTGGACATTAAGGACTCTTTGAAATTGTTATTAGCGAGTGAGATAGACGATAGGTGTGGAGGTTGACATAATGCACTTGATTTGCACTTATTGTGGGTTGGGAAAATTCCAGTTAGCCATTGTTATTATGCAATCCATGTTGTTGACTTGCTAACTGCATGTTTGTTTCAATCTGTTAAGTATAATGTTTATTTTCTCGATCACTAGTAATAAAAGGTCACTTAGTTCAACTCAACTAAATGGATGATGGTTTGCCAAAGATTATCTTTAGATGGGATGAAATGTGCTCCTATGAGTTTCTATATGATTATTTCACAAATTCTATTAATGATTCTGTTTAAGGGATTTCCAGGCATAAATTAAAAAAAAAAAAAATTGTTTTATGATCTCCGGTGGGGAAGATAACCTTTAATCTTTAAGTTAAGGCCTTGTTACATATTTTGACTATAATTGCTTGATTTGTGTTTATCTTGGGTTATGTAGGAATCTCTCAGATGTTTTCTGGGAAGCAATATCTACCGGTCAGGTCGCTCCTTATACCAGGGTCTAGGGACGAAAAAATGCAGTCGTTTATGGCGCAGTTTGTCTACTCTCTTGGTTACAGCTATTTCAAAAGATATATCTGGAAAAGAGTGGTTCTAAATCAATTGGGACAAAGCAAACTTGATTAGTTGCTACGGCTGGGGCTTGCACTGCCTTTTGACTCAGGGGAGACATCGTTTAGCTAACTTCCTGCTTTTGTTGAGAAACATTCTAATTTATGCAGTGAAATGTAGCACATGTTGCATATGTCCAGATTCCACAAAGTTTAAGTCGAGTGTATGATGAGCCTATAATGAGTTAGCTCATTTTTTGCAGAATAAGATCCTCTGTCTTAGATGAATGGTTTGAGCTGCCTTTTATGATGTTAAATAATGCTATCTTCTAATATATTATGTTATGCTACTGTCCTATCTTAATTTGGTACATCGAAACAGAAAATGGAAGAAATAGTGGTTAATGTGTAAAAATAAACGTTGGTTTTGACACGTGGGAAAAAGGAAAGAAGTTTTAGAATGCTATTTCTGTGTCATTTAATTTATCTCTTTATCATCTTGCAAAACACATAATATGAGTGTTTTTTTTTTTTTTTTTTTTTTTTTAATAAATCTTAAACTGATGTTTGACTACTGTTAATTATTGTCAGCCCTTGGATACAGCCTCGTCAAGGATGCAGACAAGTGCCTTTGGAAATCCAAAGGGCTTTAAAGACACTATCAGAAGTAGCTTGGAATGCTGCTTTGATGGCCTTGGCATCTCTCTTTTGCTAACCTCAAATCTGCCATTCAGGTAAACAAACTGGTCTTTCACTTTATAACTAGAATGTTTTGTCTCAAATTAAAAGTCTCATCATACTTCCTGTCATATAACATTTGTTCCACTTGCAACATTTGATTCTAAGAAAATAGACTAGGCTAACACTTGTACTTTGCAGTATACAGTGTTCGATCAGCTGAAACGACGACTCTTGAAAGGAGAACAGAAGGGTTCATCTCCAATGGCCCTCTCTGCTTCAGGCTTTTGCGCTAGGTGCTCTTTCAAAGAGCATTGCTACTGTATAACAAATATCTGCAATCAGGTTCAATCTATTATCATCTCAAACTATCTCAGTTAATAGGTTGATATATAGAACAAACGAGACCTTTACTTCCGCATAGGTGTAAGGTAATGATTCAAGCTGCAGACTCAACAGATGATGGAACTACGAAAAATCAGCCAAGATCCCGCAAAACATTGGCTGGAGTTATTTACGCTATCTGGAAAAGAGAAGGGCTCGGGCTTCTTCAAGGGATTGCATGCTCAGATCTTGAAGACTGTGCTGAGCTCGGCTTTGCTTTTGATGATCAAGGAGAAAATTGTGCCGCCACCTGGGTTCTTATACTCGCAACCCGAAGGTATCTCTACTGAGCAGGGGTAGATTGAAAAGTGCTTGATTGTGAGAACATTGTCCATGTATATAACTATCGCCGCAATAGAAGAAGAAACAAATTTTTTTAAAGCCGTGAGTCTAAATCTTAGAGAGGAAGTGAATTAAGGCGAATAAATTCGGTTTTGGTTGGTCAGTTATCAAGAATAAGCTGCGCCAACCATCTTCTGTTGCATTTCTGGACAGCGGTTTCTGTAAGAGCAATAATGTGCCTAATAGTTGTACAATTTTATGATTTGTATTATTCATAACATATTATTTCAGAGATCAAGTTAAATTTATCATCTCCATTGGGATTGTTTTGCTTCTGAGATAGTTCATCAGTGAGCTTTTAAGCTTTGAGCCTGATCAGAAATGGCAAAATAACTTCAATAAGAAGCTTTTCTTCTGAGAGTTTAGATGACTCAACTGAAGTATTTGTGTTCATAAGCAAACCAAGTTGAATTTTCTTTCAATATTTTGTTGACAAGTATGTGGTAACTATGTTACCAGAAATTCAAAAAATAATTAATTAATTTTTTTTGTTGAAAATTAAACACCTACCAAATAATATGAAAGTAATAAACAAAAACTAATTTAATCAAAGAGTAATGCTTTGTTGGATACAATTTAATATTTTAAGTTTTATTTATTTTTTATAATTTTCAAACATGTTTTGTATAATATTAGGATGAAATTTATTAGAAATGATTCGTGGCTGCTGTCGCAATTCGCATCAGTGCACGCCATGAGTCAATTGGCGAACTGGTTTGTCATCGTTCCACATCCGACTAAGGCACATCGTCAACCCCCATCTGCTTCCCTTCCGACAATTTTAAGCACTCTTCGACTCTCTTTTTAAAGCATATTTCATCGTTCCCTTATAGTACTTATTTGATATCAGTCTTTCTCTTGTATTTAGTTTTGAACGGAATTTATTATCTAGTTTAGACTGCATTCTCAAACAACCCGACTCGCAGCGTCTCGTGGTGTGACAGGGTCCCATTAAAATAGTATTTTTTCAGATTTTAATTAAATGTGTTACATTATTATATCTAATAAATACTTGGTATTCATACTAATTAACATTAAAATAAAATATAAATCTCTTGAATTAATTAAATTTAAATAAAAATTTAAAATTTAACCAAAAAAAAAAAAAAAAGATAACTCACAAAGTACATAAAGCCACGCGCGTTCTACTGGAGACAAAAAGACAGAGAGAGATCAGCTGAAGCAGAGAAGAGAAACAATTTAACGAAAAAGAAGAAGAAAATAAAAGGACTGAGAAGATGATGTCCGGAGGATACACAAGCATTGATAATCCGAAACTCTCTGGATCCGTTCCGGTAAGTATTCACAATATTCACATCTCTGTTTATTTTTATCTTTTTTATATAAACTTAGCAGATCTCACTACGTGCTTTGGTTTAATTTCGCAGGCGGTTCCAGATCAGGGCCACGTCACCGTCAAATTTTCAGGTAATTAATTCATTTTTGAATTAAATTTTCATCTTATGTGTTTGTCTTTGTAGATCAAATGTCTGTCAAGAAACGTGATTAGAATTGAGAATCGAGTGGTTTGATTTCGTATAGTAGATTGAATCATGAGAACTTTGTTCATTGAAAGTATAGGATGCTTGGATGTTGAGAAACTGTCTGTGAAGAATTGTGTAGGTTGATTTGTTGTTGCAGGCTGAGCTGAACGTGAGAATTTGAGGTTCTTGTTCAATTTCTCAGCAATTTGTTTCTGTTGATGGGAATTGTAGGTTTTTGTTTGGTTGCTTAGATAGTGTAGCAAAAAAATGAGCAATTGGGATTAAAGAATTTTGAATCTTGAGAATTGAGAATGGACTTATTGTGTTAGGCTTAGCTGAGAGATAGTTCGACATATTTTTTTGAAGCAATTTTTTGACCTTTTTGTAGTTTGATAGGTTTGTGTTTGGTTGCTTTCTGAATATAAGACTTCATTTGAGCTTGATACATGATTTGGCCTAAGGTTCATGTTTTTCCATTATTGTCATTGTTGTTAATGATATGTATTTGAGTATTGAATTGGTGAATTATCATTGCAGAGTCAAATCTACAGACATTTCCACCTTCTGAAGCACAGGGAAAGATTTCCATTGCTGCTGGTCCTCCTCGTGATGCTGATGGTATTGCCAGCTTTGAGTTTTTTATGATTAAATATTTAGATATGTTAGTTATTGATATTGGTAAGAGTTATATTATCAGATCTGAGATCTATTTTTATTTAAATATTTGAGTAGACATGAAATTAATGAACTTAGATGGTTGAGTTTTACCAGGGAAGTATTGATGGATCCCAACTTATGTTAATGTTTATCAATCTGATTGAATTTTCATTGAATTACATCTGTTATCCTTTTGTGTCTAATAGTTTCAAATTGATGCAGATACATTTTCAAAATCTGGTTCTGGTGCTGGTTCTAGCTCTGGCTCTGATGAATCCCAGCCTAGTGGTTGGTTACGGCCGTTCTCACTTGCTACTTACAAGCCATACTTTGATATTGACACTGCAGATGTTTTAGACAGGATTAAGGACTCACTTTTTCCCTTCAGAGATAGCTTTAATGAAAAAACAGCTAGTAACCCTGACTTGTAAGTTGTCTTCCTGTTAGTCATTTGTTTAATGGATTTATTTTACTAAAATATTATGTGTTGAATACAAATACCGTCTTAGTGGAAAACTTTTAATCATGATATTCTTATAGATTTTGCCATGAGCATACCACAGACTGTTGGAGCAGAAAGAACAAAAATGGAATAACTTGGCACTGTGCTGGCAAATCTGTTTTAGCTGGGTTGTTTAGAGTGAACTACAATGCTTACCTGATGGGTATATAAGGTCTCTTAGGTGATATTCATTGATTCTGACATAGAAGAGTAGATCTGAAAGAAATTAAGCATCTACCAATTTTTTTAGATTGTAAGCAAGATACAGGCTAATTTATTACCTGATGTAAGTTTGGAAATTATGAGGATCTTCCACATAGTTACAGCTTATAACTGGGAACCACTAAGACTACTAGTCTATCTTTGCTTGTGCTAATTTTATTAACTGCCATACAGTTTATTTTACCCTTTGTCAGTGTTATGCCAAGCATTTATCAACACTGGTCTAATTTCAGTTGTTACATTTGTATTAGCAAGCTACATATATTTCTAGCATATTGTGTGAAAAAAAATTATTTGGCTCATTTATCTTCTTCATTCTCTCCTTCATGAGTAAAATAGTTTGTGATCTTCAGCTCATATGCTGTGCAGGTATGGACCATTCTGGATTTGCACCACCCTCATATTTGTAGCAGCTTCTATTGGCACTTTCGTGACGTACATAGCACACAAGCTGAAGAATAAAGAATGGGAGTATGACATAAACCTAGTGACTTGGTCTGCTGGCTTGTTCTATGGCTATGTCACCATTGTTCCTCTTGGGCTATATGTTATCCTTAAATACTTCTCAGCACCATCAGGCCTTGTTCCGCTGTTTTGTCTTTATGGCTATTCACTATTTGTCTTTATTCCTGCACTGGTGAGTTCTTTATTTTTCAAATATTGCCTTTGAATCATTTATAGCTATTTCAGTCCTTTCCTTCTGTTTTCTTTTATTTTAAAGTCCTTCCCTGACTTCAAAGAATTTCTGCTGAGCATATTTCATGTTTTCCAAAAGCTAGAGGAAACAATATTAAGCTCTAAGGTCAAAATTCCCATATGTGTATTAATATAATCTAGACAATGTATTTAACGAATTGATATTGGTGGTGATATTGCATGGTTTAATTGTGTTATATTCAAGGTAAACAAAAGAAAATGTTAAATCAGAATAAAGTGAGCCCGACCTCTATGGTTACAAGTTCAGTGTTTTGCGTTGTATGAGTCCCATCTGAAAAATGTAAGGTGTGAATGACTAGAAGGGATTTCTTGACTGGCCATTCAATATCAATCTTTGAATATAAAAGTTATATGACAATTCCCATCTGAAAAATGTAATATACCAAGCACTTGATGAACTCTGGAAACAGGCTCCAACTGCTAAAGCTTAATCTTTTTTTCTTTTTTCTTTTTTCTTTTTTGTGGTTGCAGTGTCTCTCAGTTGTGCCCTTGGAGATTTTCAGATGGGTAGTTGCCGGTGTGGCTGGGTTCATGTCGGCAACTTTTGTGGCACTTAATCTCCGAGCCCACATTAAGTCTGCGGGAGAAAGGTGGTTCTTGATAGTAGCGGGGATCTTCCTGTTGCAATTGGCTCTGTCTGTCGCCTTAAAGCTGTATTTGTTCACCGTCACAGTATAGAGATATGAGCACTCACAATATTTCTTCACTTCACAGCATAAGAGTAAACTGTTCTTTCAATACGGAGGCATGAACGGGTTATACATCATAAAGAAAAAGTTTCTGGTCCTTCAGCTTCCAAGGTCTCAGGCTTTAACCCAACATTATACCCCAATTAAATCCTTGTGTATTCATTCATTTCCGGAATATAAATTTGAGCGTAAGATTTTCTTTGCTTCTTTCCATTCTCGTTGCAAGTCAGTTGAGTGTACATCGTCGATAAGATGTCATTTTCAGTTTGATTATTATTTTGATTGTAAGTTTTAGGTCAATAATTCTCGAAATAGAGACGTCTGAAGAGCATATATAGAATAATTGCAAATGGACTTGAAAAATCGTGTTACATAAGGTTTGTTCTAAAGTCAAACATGTGGGCATTTAGTCTCTTATTGGGGCCTTTAATTTCCAAAATCATACTTATACATTTCAAACATAATTATCACATTTTGGAAGATTAAAATAGGATCTTGGTTTGCTATTTTTCATGGGAGACTTTTTAAGTTTTCCAAATTAATGGTTTGGTTGACAATTGAATCATGGATGCCTTTTTGCATTATTAAATGGACCCTCAAAGTTTAAAAACTTTTATCATAGATACCCTTTTGCATATCACTTTCTTATAGGACCAAAGTTATTATTTTATCTCAACAATGTTTTATAAGATCAAAGTGACCACTTTACTTGTCTATTACAAATGATAATGTAACGAAGTTAGGGCATAAGGGTATCCATGATACAATTTTGAAATTCTGAGAGTTGATCAAAAGTGCGAAAGTTGTCGTCTGATGTCATCCGAATGATAAGTTTGTAAACATTAATGGGGTAGAATAGAATAGGAAATTATGTATAGATAGATGTGTGATCAAGTAAGACGAAACCAGATCATAGAAAAAATTATTAAAAAAAAAAAGAAATGCAATGTCAGACTCAGAGCCAGTCCAAGAGAAGAAACAAAGGCATAGTAAACAAATATTAATTTAAACCTAAACCCAACAAAACAAACTCTAAAGATGCCTTTTCCCACCAAACCTATGTTCTTTCTTCTAAAGGCAAAGCACCCTTAGTTTGTGAAACACAAAACACAATTAACAAATCAAATTGTCATAAACAAATATAAAACAAGCCCTAGAAAACAGCATTAACCAGCATGGACATTCTCACCATTTTAGACTTTTAGATGAGGAAATTTGAAGAAAGTGAAAACAACCCAATAGAAGGGTCAAATACTCATACGTAAGATCCTGATTTTGAGGCCCCTTTTTTAGACAATTTCCTCAGTTGGGTTTGGTTTGGTTCATTTTATTATTAAAATATTGGGTTAACATAGACCCCCTAAGGTAAGATGTAATTACAAAACCCCCCAAGGTTTTTGAAATAACAAAAATTTCCCTACCATTAAAATTTACTACCATCAAATTGCCCTCTTAATAGCTAAAACTTAACCGTTAAGCGATTTCTGTTATTTTCAAAACCTTAGGGGTATTTTGGTAATTTTGAGTGTGAATGATGTAACACATTTCATATTTAATCTTCAAACTCTTTGAAATCTATAAAATAAAAACTTTATAATATCCAATAACATAGGTTTGACTAACGTTTTTCTGTCTTTCTCTTTAAATTCACCACTAACTTACAGTCTTACACAACAAGTCCAAGCTCTCTCTCTCTCTCTCTCTCTCTCTCTTCTTTTCTCATCCTTTTCAATAGAAGTGCTTCTTAAAAGTGGTTCTTGAAAGTGTTTCCTAGAGTACCAAAGAAGCCATGTTGAGGTCAAGGAATCAAGTTCAGTTCACTCTTCTTCTGCTCTTCTTATTAAGCATGTCATTTCTGGGACATGAAGCCCTGGCAGGGAGATATCTACAAGCTGCAGACACACAGAAGAATAAGCCTCAGATTTGGGACAAAAGTACTTCTTCTTCAAGTAAAAACAATACTGTAGATGACGATGATTCAAGTTTTGTTGCTACCATCAATCGAGAAGTGCCCTCTTGCCCCGATCCTCTGCACAACAGGTAGGTTTTGTTGAAGAGTTTTACTTGTAAATACAGAAACACCAAACATATATATATATATATATATGTAAACTGTTGATCGATCACTCCATGGATTCAGAGCTTTTTACATATGTAATATTTTATATTTATTAGCAGGAAGATCATGATCAATGTTAGACGATTCAAGTTCATCATATACATCAAGATTTCAAGAAGTGAATCTCGGTTTATATGTGAGAGTTCATTATATTAATGGAAAAAAATACAATAACATGAGTCTTATTATTATTATTTTCTTAATGCATTTGTATTTCATCTCTTTTTATACCCTTTTATTATTATTGTTGTTGTTGTTGTTATTATTATTATTATATTATTTAATGTTATCTATAAAAATGGTGTCCCTTGTTGACTACAAAATATTAAGGGACATATCTTATATATATGGACCCGCACATGTTATATTAATAATTGATTTATTAAAATTATTTAATTATTCTTCCTCAAAAGGCTTATTATTAATTTATCAATTATTTGACTGTATAGATCTTAACTTCTGCCTTAGATTTAATCTAACCGGTTTTCTATTATTGTTCATTTGTATGTGGTTTCAATGAACGTTCCCACGATCATAATCACATTTCATGTTGAGAAAGGTATTATTATTCTGATAATTTATTCGATAATATTATCATATCAATTAATAGCGTACAAATAATAATTATTAAAGTGATAATTTCTTCACGAATGTATTTATTATTATTTAAAAAAAAAAGTATATAAGAGAATTTCAAGCAAAATTATTAGACAAGTTTTTACTAATAAACTAATATTAAAAAGACACATTTGAGCAAAGCCAATGGTAGGTCGTGCCGCCCAGGATAGGGTATGAAAATATGCGGGCCGTTTCGTGGGCCTTAAAAAAGGCACATGAGCTGGCACAACATGACACTAAAAAAAAAATTGAAAAAAAATTTAAGAATTTAGAAATTAATGAAAATGAATATGTATAATAATTCTTAATCTTAATTTATAAGTTTGTATTTGTAATTTATAATTATAATTTATAAATAATAAAAAGTATTAAAATTCAATTAATATTTCAATATCTGATTATTTTATTATATTTTTTAGTGATTATATATTTTTTTAATTAGTATAATACAAAATGTCATTGAATATAACATATAAAATACTTTTATAATAATTGTTAGTAATAATCAAAATTACCATAATTTATGAATATTAAAATTAAATATTTTTACAAAGCATGTGGGTGGGTCCAAAGCATGACAAAATATATAACGGGTCGTGCCTTGTGCCTTCAAATTTGGTGGGCCGGCATAGTACGATAAGGCATGAATTTTTGTGGGCTTTAGCACAACACGACACACGACATGATGGGCCTTAAATTTTTCGGCACGGCCCACCGTCACTTCTGCATTTGAGTAATGACCAATGGGCGAGTCATGCTTATGTCATTTTGACGTACCACATTATCCTTAGACAGTCCAATAAAATTATATTATATGGGTATTTATTTCAAAACTTATTCATCGTAAATACGAGTAGGTAAATAAATATATATACGATGTATCATCAGAAAAGAAAAAAGAAAATTGTTCTCTCAGTGTAATTATGTAAGTACTACTGTACTATAGAATGACTTATAAACAAATCGACTAAAGAAGAAATATTTAATTAAAAGTGGTGCTCCACTTGGACCTTGAAAATGGAACATTTGGGCCCATGGGCTCATGTTCAATTACGCGGTTTTGCTTCTTATTGTTTACATTTCAATGTAGGAGCCTATGTTTCTAGTATTATTATTTTACTATTGCATATTATTATATAATATATGTGTTTATTAAGATAATTACATTATGCCACTAGGGTTCGGGTCTAGTATGGTCTATATCGTACAGTTTAAAATATCAGGATAGATTTTTCCGATTCTAATAGACGTTAACCTGTGTAAGGGTAAAACAATTATCACCTGCCAGCAGCCAATGCCGTCGTTGCCACCGTCGGTTCCAGAACGACACATGACCGGTTGGATCTAGCCAATTGTGCGTCGATCTTGCCTTTTTCAGTTAGATCCACAGTGATCTGGTCGAAAACAACCAGATCTACAGCTAGAGATTTGGCAATTAACGATAATCATATCTTGGCTGTCATTGATGTCCAGATTTTGGCCGTAGATTTAGCCTTTTCCAGCCAAATCCACTGTGGATTTGGCCGAAAATGGTAAGATTGGTGCATGATCGGCTAGAGCCAGCTGATCATGTGCCATTTAAGATGACTGACAGCCACCGTCCGACGATGGTGGCTGGTTGCTGGAAGTTGATTGGGTGGGTGGGGGTATTTTTTTTAATTTATAAACTTTTATTGTGGGGGGTGTTTAGCTAAATTAACAAATGTAGGGGTTAAAACTAATCTAAATATTTTCAGAAAATGTTTTCTAATAATGTACCAAACAAATTCTCAGAATCTTATCCTAAATTGTATTCAGAATAGGATTTTATAAATCTTATTAAAAAAAAGTGTATCAAATGCAGCCTAGGGTGCGTTTGGCTCCCTATTTGTATTTGTATTTGGAATTGGATGTAGGGGAAATGTGTTTGTTTCAATACTCAGAGAATCAAATTCTAAAAATTTGATTTTTGACACAGTAAATGACCGTTCTGACAAAAGTTGAGTTTTTTTTTTTTTTTTATGCTTTTCCTCTCTCTTCCTTATTTTCTTCTTCTTTTTCCTTCACCATGCTAACATGGTTGAAGGCATTCAAAAACCGACCACGCTAACACATTTCAAGGCATTCAAAAACCCACCCTTAACTTCAAATCATCACCGGCGTTAAGAAATCCAGATCATCATCCTCAACAGTGACCATCTTCCATGTTACAACCAAAGGTAGACCATCTTCCACCTGCATTCAAACTCAACACCCAAAGAACCTGAAACTCCTCCTACCAAGATATTTAGTAAAAAAACAACCACCAGCGGAAGAGGACAACAACAAAACACCCCACTGCCAAGCTCGACAAGATCGAAAGCAAATCATTTCTTCTCCAACCACCTTCGATCACCACCACGTTCGAGCGCCACCTCCAGCGTTGACAGGACTATAGATCCACTAGCAAAAGGAACGTTTTCTTCTCCAACCTGAGCCCACTGCCTTTGAGCGCCACGACTGGCATATAGAAGCCCAGATCCAACACCTTCGTTGGGGAAACCTCCCCCAACCCAAGGGCAACAGCTTCTTTAGTAAGCACTAGTTCCACCACCATCGTCGACGAGAGGTCATCTAACACGAGGCCACCACATTCTTTAAGCAGTAGCGACAGTGTTTAACTACTTCATTAACCCACCGTCGGTCACCGTCCTCCAACCCCACGCCGGCAGATCCGAATGATTTATTAAGAGGTAACCCACCGTCAACCATTGTCTTCCAACCCCACGCCGACAGATCCGAATGATTTGGTTTATGTTTTAGGATGCATTTGTTTTATATTAGTTTAATATTTGTTTTATTTTGCATTTGTTTTGGGTTTAGCTTATATTTGCTTTATTTTGCATTTGTATTATATTTGATTATGTTTTATTTGTACGCAATGCAGTGTATGGATTTCATTAGTTGTTTGTGTTTTTTTCGTAGTTGGTTAGGTTGTAGTTAATATGGCTGTAAATGGTTAGGAGTAATTAGTTTAGTTAGTTGAATTAGTTATTATAGTTATTGTCAACTACAAATAATTAACCATGGTTATTGGAAATTTTGGGCAGATTCAGCATCGTTATTTGATCGTAACAACAAATTACAATCATATGAACAAAAGTCATCATAATTTGGCCCGCCGTCGCATGATCGATTACTACTTTCAGCAGAAGAGGAAGTTTCGATGTTTTTCTAGACTTGGAGTTCATCATACACCTTGTTGGTCAACATTGCTTGTATCTTTCCCTGCATTGACGACTTCAAGTAGTGTTAGATCGAACGAGGTAATGATTTATCTGTGTTTAGTTTATGAGGTTTAAATGTGCGTATGTGTGTTGGTAATGTGTTTGCTGATTATTATGGTGTCCCAATCTTGGTTGTCGTTCTCACCGTACTATTATTAAATGAGTGATAATGTCAACTAGTCCGCTGAGATGACCCATAAATTTATGGTTCTGTTGTCTAAGCGTGCGAAAACTTCCCACGGTACTTCAATAAAAATAATAGATTACCAGGGTATGTTGGATGACTTATCATCATTGGTTGGGAGGAGACTTAACGTGACACAACTAGCCTCTAAGTACTTTCACCTGAGAAAAGTATATCAAGCATGATTGAAATTGCTTCAACACACGGGCTTTGGTTAGGATCATGAGTCGCAAACTCCAACGTGCCCCATACAGGTTTGGCAAGAATATATCAAGGTAAATTTCAAAATTTTTAATTCATATTAATCTACGACACCGTACTTTTACGAAATTTTTTTTGGATTGACAGATTACTTTTCTCAAGCGAAAGTACTTAGAGGCTAGTTGTGTTATATTAGTGGGTAGTTAAGTTTATTGTGTTATTAATGTTAATAGTCGATTAATATTACTAAAATTCAATTTTGATGATATGACTATATTGAAGCCATTGATGACACACATGTGTACGCTTCGGTTCCACAGGAGTTTGGCGATAGGTATTGGAATCGCAAAGGAATGTTGTTATAGAATGTAATGGCTTTATGCGAATTTAAGATGATGTTCAGTTATGTCGTCACTGGGTGGGAAGGTTCTGTGCATGATTCAAGAGTTTTAAATTTAGTTCTTGATTATCCTAATTTTGGATTCCCACATCCTCCACTAGGTATAAGTATCTTCTTTACGTATTATAGCATATTGGCTCCATTTTTGAGGCCCTAGAATTCAAATAACATGTGTGATTTTATTACAGGAAAATAGTATTTAGTTGATGCGGGTTATCCAAATAGCAAAAAGGGTTCCTTGGCCCTCATAGGCGAGTGGCTTACCATATTCATGATCACTGCCATAATCAGAGGGGGCCACAAGAGTTGTTTAACTACAGACATGCATCACTTCGTAATGTTGTCGAGAGAACCTTTGGTGTTTAAAAAAAAAAAGGTTCCGTATTTTCAATGGAATGAACAATTATCCGTTGGACAAATAAGGGAGGATTGTTATGGCATATTGTGTACATCATAATTTTATCAGAATGTACAATGTGGAGGACCCTATCTTAAATGGTATACTGAAAATACGGGCAATGAACAAGTATATTTTGATGGCCAAAATGGGGCAGAAGATGGCGAAAATGGAGAGGGATCAAGTCAACCGCATCAAGGTATTATAGATGATATGACGACTCTACGGGATAATATAACGACTGAATTGTGGCGAACACATATGACCATGTTGTAGTTGTTAATGGAGTATATGTGTACAAACGATTATAAGGGTTGATAATTAGTAGCTTTGTTATATATGTATTAATGTGATGTTTTTAAACAGTTGGATTAGTACTTGAAATTAATATGAGAATTTTTTTTTTTTTTTNGGGGGGGGAAGGAGTGGGAGGAGGGAATTTATTGCGAATTTCTTATCTATGAATAATTCACCTGATGTAGGTTGCAAGTAAAATTTCGATTTTCTTTGTTGATGTTTTTTATTTGAGTTTCTCGTTTTAGCTTTTGGATCTAAAATGTTTTAAGTAGGTTTCTAGGGGCTGGGCGAAAAAACTTTTAAATGCCTTATTGATACAAAGAATCAATAAGGCATTTTACCAATGAAATATACACCTAGCTCAGACATAATGAATCTTGCTCTCAACTTTAAATCAATAGAAAGAACCCAAAAATATGGTTGCTATGAATTTCTTTTAACAGTATGAATGTATGAGTAATTGGGGAAATATTTTTGTGCGATTACAGCATCTGGTGGGCCATGCGTTTGGTCATAAATAGTTGAATGATGAGTCTCTTTCTATATGGATTGCTAAAATTTAGGTCCATTAAATTTACGATATATTTTCTTCTGCGCATTAGTAGAGTTATGTATTCTTTTGAAACTCTATATTTAGGGAGTTATAATATGAGGGTATATTAATACACGTAAACTATTATTATTGTTATTATTATTACCTTTTGAATTCTGAATCAGCCTTCTAGTGTTTTGTCTGATGATGCTGATTATGGATTTGGGTATAGTCTATTTTTGTTTTGTAGTCCATTTATCTTTTGTATTGTTTCTGTGGATGTGGATTTGTTCTTAAATGTTTTTAATATGTAATTTTAATTGTCATATGAATATAAATTTTTGAGGTTCATCACTTTTATTTCTCTTGTGGACAAGGTCATGTGAGGCGTGTAAACTTTTTATTTTATTTTTTTTGAACAATTTACACCTTCTTGAGTGGTTTCATTGTCATTGTCATGGATGTGGTGCCCCTTTTGCTTGCCCAGATAACATGTGAATATGATGGCAATATTTATTCTTAGAGCTTGATAGATATCATGAATCCTTTCTGTGAACTTTCTGTGGTTAAGACCTTATTTGTCAGTGTGCTTGCCTTACATCTGAATTCATGCCATTCATTGGAAAATCAATCTTCTGTCGTGTGTACTTTCTTTGCATTTTAATGGCTAATATTTGGTTTTGTTTACTTGTAGTGGAGAAGGCCATGTGAGCTGTCTGAAACAAGACTAAATTGTGGGTTCTGCAATTTTGATAAGCGTACTGGTTCTCCTGGTGTGCAGATAATGGGTAAATGCAAGGGTTGTGGGAAATTAGGAAGAATGCTGCCAAGGGATGGGTCTGTTAGTCCGTACCATTTTTCTCTTCTTTTGTGTCCTGTCGTTTCTGTTTGGGATTGCATTGTTCGTAAAATGAAGTATTCCTACAGACCTGAGTGGGTGTAGTCGTTGTGATCATAGGTCAGCATTATATAAGTTTTCAATACAAGATTGAACCAGAAATTAATTAGGGTTATTAGTAGGGAAAAAGAAAAGTGAAAGAAGAAAAGATAATTATAGGGAAATGTATACATTTTAGAGGAATACTCTTGAAGGAAAAAATTGAGCAAACAGGACTGAGTTTGTAAAGGTCGAGTCTATAGACGTGTGTAGTATTCATGGATAACATGGCATGTAATAAAGCGCAACCTGTTGTGAGAAAAGCAAAGAAGAAGCAGGTGAAGGATGAAATGGATCGCATCAAACAGGCTGAGAAGAAAAAGAGGCGCCTGGAGAAAGCTCTTGCTACATCTGCAGCCATTCGATCAGAACTGGAAAAGAAGAAACAAAAAAAGAAAGAAGAACAACAGAGGCTTGATGAAGAGGGTGCTGCAATTGCTGAGGCTGTTGCTCTCCGTGTCCTTTGTGACGATTCTGATGATTCATGTAAAGTTTTGCTGAACAAAGAAGAGGGATTCAGTTCTTGGGATTGTACTAGCAATGTTGACATTTTCATGGGTGGAGGGAGAGCATCTCTTCCTCATCAGGACCGAGCACAGTGTACACTTGAAGGCATTGGGTGGCTCTCTAACACGTATGGTTCTGGCTGCAAGTGGGATGACTTTGGAAATGGTGACTGGTCATTTACGTATGGGCCTATTGAAAGAAATCTAACTATGCCGTATCTTGAGGACGAAGGTTGGGGAGCTTCAGAATTCTCTGCTGGTCTTATTGCAGCACAAGCTGTTTCATCACTACAAATTGCAGAGGATGCACAAGTAGACGCCATTGTTTTTAATGGGATGCTCAAGAGGGACAAGTCGTGGTTTAAAGTCTAAAATAATGGTTTTGTATATATTTAGTACAAATGAGCCCTCTACTTAAATTCTAATGTTGCTTGCTTCTTCAGTCAAAAAAACATTACCGCACTAGCATGTCCAAGTCGGTTCTGTTTTTTTTTGGGGGTGGGTCGGGGTTGCTTTCATAATTCTGTGTCTTGAAGTTGCTTGGTTCATATATGGTTGATTTTCACACGTCTTGAACAATTAGTAGATTTGTGTTCTTGTTAACTCTAATGAGTTAGAAATATCTGCTGACTTATTGTATCGAATATTTATAGATTATATGTTAACTAAATTAGTCCCTTTTGCAATTTGTGATTCTTTCTCTTGACCATAAATGGAATAGTTAAATATTATGTTAAACAAATTAGTTCCTGACGCAATTTGTGATTCTTGCGCTTGCCTATAAATGGATTCTTCCTTGCGACACTGATGGGTATCCTTGGTTCCCTATTTGTATTTGTATTTGGAATTGGATTTAGGGAAAAAGTGTTTGTTTTGGTACTCAGAGAATCAAATTCTAAAAATTTGATTCCTGACGCACAAAATGACCATTCAACAAAAGCGCACGGTTTTTTTTTTTTTTTTTTCTTTTCCTCTCTCTTCCTTATTTTCTTCTTCTTCCTTCACTACGCTAACACATTTTAAGGCATTCAAAAACCTACCATGCTAACACATTTTAAGGCATTCAGAAACCCACCCTTAACTTGAAACCACCACCGGCTTCAGGAAATTCAGATCGTCATCCCCAACAGTCACCATCTTCCACGTTACAATCAAAGCTAGAACATCTTCCACCTGCATTCAAACTCAACACCCAAAGAACCTGAAACTCCTCCTACAACGATATTTAGCAAAAAAACAACCACCAGTGGAAGAGGACAACAGCAAAACACCCAACTGTCAACCTCGACAGATTGAAAAATTGAAGCCAAAATCCACACACCCAACCTACCAACAACAAACACCAGCCCATATCCAAAGCACCCCCCGACTGGACATAAACACATTCACGATCTATTAAGGAAAAAGAAACAATTACAGATAACATTTCCACACCATAGTCACAGACTAAGAACCCAAAGCAAATCATTTCACCAACCATCATCCACCACCTTCGACCGCCACCACCTTCGAACACCACCTCCAGCGTTGACAGGACTCCAGATCCACCAGCAAAAAAGGTTTTCTTCTCCAACCCGAGCCCACCACCTTCGACAGCCACCACCTTCGAGTGCCACCACCGGCTCACACGACCCAGATCCAGCACCATTGTCGGTGAAACCTCCCCCAACCTGAGGCCAGCGGCTTCTTTAACGAGCACCAGTTCCACCACCATCGTCGATGAGAGCTCATCTAACTTGAGGCCACCATATTCTTTAAGCACCAGCAGCGTTGTTTAACTACTTCATTAACCCATCGTCGACCACCCTCCTCTAACCCCACGCCGCCAGATCCAAATGATTTGTTAAAAGGTAACCCAAACAATGCAGCACACTGATTTGGTTTATGTTTTAGGATGCATTTGTTTTATATTTGTTTTATTATGCATTTGTTTAGGGTTTAGTTTATATTTGTTTTATTTTGCATTTGTATTATATTTGTTTATGTTTTACTTGTATGTAATGCAGTGTATGAATTTCATTAGTTGTTTGTGTTTTATTCGTAGTTGGTTAGGTTGTAGTTAATATGGTTGTATATGGTTAGGAGTAATTAGTTTAGTTAGTTGAATTGGTTACTATAGTTACTGTCAACTATAGTTAATTAACCATGGTTATTGGAAATTTTGGGCAGATTCGACATTGTTATTTGATCGTAAGAACAAATTACGATCATATGAACAAAAGTTAGTATAATTTGGTCCACCGTCATAGGATCGATTACTACTTTCAGTCATGGTTCTTAGTATCCTACGATACCTGATACGTATCATACGATACGATTCGATACAGGTCACCAACGATACGTATCAGAGAGTGTATCCTAAACCATTCGATACGTTAATATGTATCCTACGATAAGATACGTATCCGTTTGTATCCTTAAAAATATCGATATAAATCGATACGACTTTATTAATTTGGGCCAAAGATCCAAAAAAAAATTCGGGTCGAAACCGAGTCACCCAACCCGATTCACTAAAACCTGTCCAAATTTACCTATTTTGCATGGAGAAAGTGAAGAGGAATATGTATTACCCATTTTACATGATAATAATAATATAAGTGGAGATATAGATATTGACATTGATCTTGGAATTTTGTGATTAATTTTGATTATGTAATACCGTAATTTAAAGTCAATAATACCACAAAATTCTTTAATTAATCTTGAGGATTATATTAATTTTTAGAAAATTTTGATTATTTTATTAATTTTTTTGAAAAAGGCGTATCTTACGATACGATACGATACGCGATACACGATTCAAAAAATTAGGTTTTCGATACACGATACGATACACGATTTGATAATCATGCTTTTAGCAGAAGAGGAAGTTTCGATATTTTTCCAGACTTGGAGTTCATCATACACCCTGTTGGTCAACACTGCTTGTAGCTTTCTCTGCATTGATGACTTCAAGTAGTGTTGGATCGAACTAGGTAGCAATTTATCTGTGTTTTGTTTATGAGGTTTAAATGTGCATATGTGTGTTGGTAATGTGTTTGCTGATTATTATGGTGTCCCAATCCTGGTTGTCGTTTTCACAGTACTGTTATTAGATGAGTGATAATGTCAACTGGTCTACTGAGATGACCCACAAAATTCTGGTTCTGTTGTTTGAGCATGCGAAAACTTCCCAAGGTACTTTAATTAAAAACAGCAAATTACCAAGATATGTTGGATGACTTATCATCATTGGTTGGGAGGAGACTCAACATGACGCAACTAACCTCTAAGTATTTTCGCCTGAGAAAAGTATATCAAGCATGACGGAAATTGCTTCAACACACGGGCTTTGGTGTGGATCATGAGTCGCAAACTCCAACGTGACCCTTGAAGGTTTGGCAAGAATATATCAAGTTAAATTTCAAATTTTTAAATTCATATTAATCTACGACATTGTACTTTTACGAATTTTTTTTGGGACTGACAGATATTAATATATGTTTATTTTTCATTACTAGCAAAACCCACAGGCACAACAATTCTTCCACAAGGGACTTCCTCACAAGGAGCTTTATGAAGTCATATTTGATAAGCAAACTGCCACAGGGAGATATGCGTACACATCTACGTCTCAACTTGTGAAGAACTTCACTTCTTCCGATCAGGGACCGATTGACATTGATGATAGTGACTTCAAACCTAATCCGGATCAGACGATAGGGGAAAAACGGTCAAACACATCTGGTCATGCAAGACCGAAAAATAAGAGGAAGAGAAGTGGCTTAGGACAGGTACTTGTGGATGATGGCAGATTGACGGACGTGCTTGTGGAGAGGAGTATGAGATCGAGGGCTAGCAATCGCAGTGGAGATGAGGGGGACGAAGAGAACACCAGTGCTCCATCTGATTCGTTTTTCATGAGTCATTGTATTGACATCTTGATGGCCATGCAAGTACCCACAGAGTTTTACATGTCGGTTGTCAAGTACTTATATCAAAATCTAGGGTGGCGGGAGGTATTCGTCAAACTGCCACCCGAGGAAAATGCTAATTGGATTTATAACGACTTTCGCAATTTGTAGATGACCCTATATGTCTTAAGTGTTTGCCCATAGTTTTGTATGCGCCAATGGGCACTTATTCCTTTTACGGCTAACCCAAACTTTTTTTCAGCACCTTGATTTGAAAAATGTACCCAGATGTCTGCTACTGTATGAACTTATTCATTGTACTATTGTTTTGTGTGAGATAACATGTTTCATATGAGTTTGGGATTGTAATTAGAATTAAAAATTGAATGTTATATTTTGCTAAGTACTGCAACAACTATTAAATGATGATCAATGTTTTACAAATGTACAAGTTTAAATGGCATCGTTTAGGCATACAAGAAGAAGACGAAGTACTACAGATGACAAAAAAGAAATACTGACAGATATAACAGTTGCACTATGTGCTATTGTCATGTTGGAAACAGATGGGCGTCACTTACGACATACATCTGTATTGACTGGTCATGATTACATGTTGGAAGTACTAAATGATCATGATGATAGAATCTTTGATAAGTGCCGCATGGACAAAGACTGTTTTACAAACTTATGTTACATTTTGGCACAACAAGGGAAATTGCGAGCAACCAGGAGGATGAGTATTGAAGAACAAGTCATGATATTTTTTACAATCGTAGGTAAAAACGAGCCAATCAAAACGATGATAGAGGATTTCCAATATTCGGGTGAGACGGTCTCTAAATATGTTGGCAAAGTTTGCGAGGCGATATGTGAGTTGAAGACAGAGTTTATCAGGCCACTTGACTTCAGTGATGTTCCACTAGAAATATCAACCAACCGAAAATATTACCCTTTCTTTAAGGTACTTCTTCATTATGTTTTATATTAGTGGATAGTTAAGTTCATTGTGTTATTAATGTTGATAGTCGATTAATATTGCTAAAATTCAATTTTAATGATAGGACCGTATTGGAGCCATTGATGGCACACATGTTTATGCTTCGATTCCACAGGAGTTTGGCGATAGGTACCAGAATCGCAAAGGAACGTTGTCATAGAATGTAATGGTTGTATGCCACTTTAGGATGATGTTCACTTATGTCGTCACTGGATGGGAAATATATGCGCATGATCCAAGAGTTTTAAATTAAGTTCTTAATGATCCTAATTCTGGATTCCCACATCCTCCACCAGGTATAAGTATCTTCCTTACGTATTATAGCGTATTGGCTCCATTTTTTAGGCCCTGGAATTCAAGTAACATGCGTGATTTTATTACAGGAAAATACTATTTGGTTTATGTGGGTTATCCAAATAAAGAGGTGTTCCTTGCCCCTCACAGGTTAGTGGCTTACCATATTTATGATCACCGTCGTAACCGGAGGGGGCCACAAGAGTTGTTTAACTATAGACATGTATCACTTCACAATGTTGTCGAGAGAACCTTTGGTGTTTTAAAAAAAAGGTTCTGTATTCTCAATGGAATGAACAATTACCCGTTGGACAAACAAGGGAAGATTGTTATGGCAAAGACCCTATCTTCCAACGGTATACTGAAAATACGGGTAATGAGCAAGTATATTTTGATGGCTAAAACGAGGCAAAAGATGACGGAAATGGAAAGGGATCGAGTCAACCACAACAAGGTATTATAGACGACATGGCGACTCTACGGGATAACATTACGACTGAAACGTGGGCAACACATATGACCATGTCGTAGTTGTCAATGGAATATAGGTGTACAAACGATTCTAATGGTTGATAATTAGTAGCTTTGTCATATATGTATTAATGTGGTGTTTTTAAACAGTTTGAATATTACTTGAAAATAATGTGGGAATTTTTTTTTTTTAATTTAGTTGTTACGAAATTACCAATCAAATGTTTAATATTATTAAAATGTTAATTAATAAGTTTTTAGGTTATAATAATAAATTATTTTAACAAAATGCACCAAAATATTGTATTAATAAATCATTTATAAAAAATATACCACACATATATTTAACAATTTATTCTACTCAAATAAAAATGTCAAAATACTCTACCAAACATATTTTATTCAAATTTTATTCTCGTAATAATAACTCGGCCCAACTCGACAATACTATTTTAAAAATCTACCCAAAATAACAAAACAAACACACCCAAGTTTTTGTATTATTGCCTTGGCCCTAGCAGGTTTGGAAGGTTGCAACCACAAAAACATTTTCTTCCAAAATTCGAATTATAGATCTTTTGTTGATTTATCTAGCGACAAAGAAGCCATCATAAATGAACGTACAAGTCCAAATTGGATCCTGAAAGTTGACTTACAGATGAGCAAGTATCACACCCTAACAGGCAAAAAGATAAAAAATAAAAATGGAATTTTTTTACTTCACCGAATGAAAGGGTCTAAATCTACAAACATACATAAGCGCCTTGTGTCTTTGAAGAATGTAAGAACAGCCTAAAGCACAGCATGAGAACTTCCACACTTTAATGAAGAATCAAGCACGTAATCAGTTTGTGAGGAGAAAATACGTACAGATACATCAAACGAACCTTTGAGTCAATTGAACAAATATTAATTGGAACGATTGGACACTTTACATTTGATACAGAATGAATATCTTGCTGGGAAAAAAGTTTCCTCCTATATCACGATGTAGATTCAGTTGCGGTAGGACTTCTGATGGACTTTGCTCCTGTTGTGGATGGGGTATCCCCCTCGTTATTCTCAATATCTGAACTACTTGAAGGTTTAGCGCCAGTAGTGATGAGATTTTTAAACCAAGTTGCTTGAAATCTAGGTGTCCCTCTGATTAAATTGCTTGGGGAATCAGGAACAGGCCCATTGCTGTTGCCATTACCATTGTTAGCAACACCCAGAAGGAAACGATAAGCCACTTTGCTAGCCGAGACAATCTCTGTCCTGGCTTGTCTCAACTGCAATAGCACAAACAAGAAAGTAAAGGCAATGTTATTCACAAAGCAAAACTCTCAAACCTATTAATAAGGGTTTACATTTGAACTGTTATCATTAAATATCCAAACAAAAAAATGCTTGAGAGACACAAGAACTTAAAACAATTCCAATCTGATTACTCATCCACATTTCATGTCTGATGGCAATGGTACATGACAGCTACAAGCTTAATTCAAGCCACCAGATTTTAACACCGCTAAACAGTAAATGAAAGCAGATGTGAATGGCAACTCCTAAGTCCAAATTCTATAGTTTAGTGTAAGATTATGTGTTGAATAATCAGGAATAGGGAGTTACTTCTAAACCTTCACAAATATTCAACATCAAATATTCTCCACTACAGGTAAAAACATCAACATTTTCCAAGCATTTCCCGTAACAATTGGAATCAAGCAACATTGCAGAGCAAATGCATAAAATAACCACAAAAATTAACATTTATTCACAAATTGTACATGTGTGAGTGTAAAACAGTTATCTGTTATTCAATAGATCCAGCTATAGACATTCACATAAAAAAGGGGTAATATTCTGATATCCTGCAGGTTATAAGCAAACAAAATGCAGAATGGCATCTCACCCGTAATGCAGTGGTTCCCGCTACTTCCATGGCAGCATCACCAGCGTTGGCAAAACGATTAACCCAGCCTGTTACAGAAATTATAACAAGATTCATATTATCATTTATTACCATAATTCTACAAAGGAAGAAATAACCTATCAACACTGAAGACAATATTTTTAAATAGAAAAAACCTCTGGACAGGGCATAATCTCAGAAAAAAAAAACCTCTTTGAATAAAGTAGTCAACAGCACGGAGCACAAAAGCAATAAAAAACATGGTCCTCCCTCCCCTAATCTTCCTACTGATCCCCATTAAAAAAAAATTAAAAAAAAAAAAGGGAAGAAGAAGAAGAAGAAAGATAAAAGGACAACAAACTGAAGCTCAGTTGTTCTATCTTACATGTACAAACTCATAGTTAGAACAGACCATGGATTCAGCTAGAAGCCTAGTATAAAACAGCACCCATTTAACCCATTCCCCACCCCTACTCATGGTAGAGCTTGCAAGGGCAAGACAACCATGAACAAATTAAATTGCAAAATATACAATCAAATTTTTTATAGATCGCTTATCCATATCTGAGTTGATGCCTCTCTTAGGAATTAAAACTAAATAATAAAAAGAAAATAACTTGCATATCAATACATCACTAGCTGCTTTTATCATTGTTTTTATATTGCCTTTCCATTGTATATCTCAAAGTCTTGCTTAGTCAATTGAGCATCTGTACGCCAGTGCTCCTCATATATCAAACAGTTCACATGAAAAACGCATAGGAATCAATCCATCCCTATGTATCACAAACCAGAATTTAAGAATTCAAGTGGACGGATAGCAGACTACATAATCTGAAAAAGTTTACCTGGAAGCTTTGGCACACCAAGTCTTTCGCACAACTCATCACAAAAGTGGTTGCAGTTTCTGGATAACAAGTCATATGAACTTCCAGGCCACTCTCGACTAAGTTCCCGCAATATCTGATTCACCTTGAAGATTGAAAAGTTTGTTTTTCCAAGGACAATACATTCGCGATATGTATACATTGGATTCTTTCCAGATGGGCAGCTAAAAACTCCTGATCCATGTTCGCAGAACCCAAAAGACCATTCTTCATCGCCATATAACTGTCAAGTTCGGACAAAATTATCACTCAATATAATTAATGAAATAAGATATTAGCAATCAAAAGTTATATATCAAATAAATGTTAACGACAAAGAACATAAATTGCAAAGCTATAAGAATCTGAAATATACATGGAATAAACTGCAATTTGAACGCACCGCATAAAATAATATGGCTAACATGTGGCAAAGAGTATCCAACAAAACTAATAAGTGGCACCAATTTTCTTTTCTTCACAGAAAAATAAGAAATCATAGGTTTTCAAAGTTTGAGCATAACCCTTTCCCATAAAGTATTTCAAGAAGAGATGGTAGAGCAATCTCAGACTGGATGTGAGAAAGTTAAAGAAAATAAAATTGATTTAAATAGGCAACATAGCAGATGACATTGCTTTATATGACATATGGAGACCTTAGTTCTGTTTACAAGTTTAGATTCCCAAACAAGAGATACAACTATGTACAACTCAACTAATCCTAGATCTCAAACATACGAGGTTGCCTCCTTGCATCTTACAGCTCTGAACATAATGCGCACATAATGAAAAGAAACTAAGAAGCATAGCACTGCAGAGTAATATATCTTGACATAAACAGCCACAATCCTATGAATTGACAAGCAGGCCTCAAGGAGAAAGAGCTCCTACTATCCTTTCTAATGGACTCAAGTATATATTATTTTAACAAAGAAAACTTAGAGCAAGAATCCAAAACTAATTCTTCAAATTGAGTTGCACATTCCTTACAGTAACAATATTAGGAAAAAATAACCTCTAAGCTAGCCTGCAACTATTTCTCTGAAGGGCAATAAAGATCAGAAATCCATTCCTCATAAGTACACATCTGATTTGCTAGAGACGATGACCAGTAACTAGTCCAAGAGGAAGATCAGCCACAACCAGGGCAGAGTTCATTTTATAAATCCACAACACTCATAAGACACGCCCAATTAATTGACCAATAAATAGAGGCCCTGTAAGTGTAAGAGTAAACTCGAAGAATACAAACTTGACCTAATTTTAGGTGAGGCAGATTTGTCGGCAATTCTACTGTAAAGCATTAACACAATTAAACACACCAAACAAACACACGAAAATTGCAGATCTCACTACATTACACAACTAACACAATCAATTATTACCGTCATTCACATATCTAAAGACTGATATTACTTAAAAAACCTTGATCTCATTCACACTCACTCAGCAATGCACAAACACATTTAAACATAAAGATAGAGATAGAAAGGGACCTGAACAGCGCTGTGGAAGATACCGCCGACGCCAATACCGTCTTTGAAGATCTTATTGATTTGCATGATAGTGTTGTTGGTCTTGTCCGATCCACTATTCGTCACGTCGTATATGTGAAGTATCACATCCGTCATCTTCGCCTAAACCCTAGATTTTACCCTAATTGTGTCTGTTTTCACTTCCTACTTTCTTCACAAAGAAAACCAACTCTCGCTACTCTCTCTGTGTCCCTCTCTTCCTCTATCAGTCTGTAAAGCGAAGCAATCGAATTACTCGATTCAACGCTCTTTCCACTTTCACTTTTTTGCTCTGTAACTAATTTGAATATCTCCACCTCGAATCGCTCAATTTCTCTTTCCTTTTTTGTTTTTAAATTATTCTACCCTTTTTGGATATTTTATTTCTATTTTTATTATTATTATTATTATTTGTATTAAAGCGATAAAGAAAAGGTGAATAAGATAGATGGAGTTTCAAATTCTGAACCAAAATACCTTTTCAAATTTATATATAAGATAAAAGATAAAATATTAGTTACAAAAATACCCCTGGGTTTAGAGGAAACTACGAAACTGTTAGGTAGTTATCTTACAACTGTCAGTGAGTGATGGATATGATTAGCCCAAGGTGGAGGATGCGGCCCCCACGTTGTCACGCATGAAATTATTTAAACTTTGAGACATCGACACTTTAAAATACGATAATACCCTTGTTTTGGTTTATTACAAGCATTGAGCATATGAAATTGGTGACGAATTCTGGGATCTTGAGGGTAAAGATGGTGCATGCTGTATGGTCAGTTTTAAGATATTTAGGATTAGAAGCTTTTTTTATAACAAAAAATATCCTTAATTTATTAGAAATTTTGACCATATACTAGACTTAGCTCTCTTATGATTGCAAGAGAGAACTTAATTAGTATATTTCCCAAACTTGGGAGTTGGATCATTTTATGTTAATGAATTATTAATAATTATTTAATTGACTCATATTGATATACATTATATATTTATTTCAATTCAAACAAAATATAATTTAAAAGCTATTTGACACCTGTAATATTAAAGCAGCAAATCTCTCTAAAACCTAAATTCAAAAGCAGTGTGATGAAGTCACCATGTTGACCAAATGGACTAATTGTCTCTCTAACCACCATTAGTAGAGTTACTGAGGGTTTCAGTATAGTGAAGGTTAATCAAAGCTACTGATTTTGATTCCATGAATTTGAATATCAGAAAAAGAGTACCTATAACAGACAACAACAAAATTCAAATATAAAAACAAGAACAACCTCTAGATTAAAAACTTAAAAAAAAAAAAATTATGCAATTATTATTAGATAACATTCAACAAGGTTAAAAACACATTTGCTAACCAGCAGTCAAAATAAAAAGCTTCAAGCTACACAACACTTGCTATCAACCGTATCCTCCAATCACTACTTTGAAAGTAAGAGAAACAAAAATAAGTACTAAACAAACATATTAGAGATAGCTAACGGTCCGTTTGTTTTGTTATTTTCTACCCTATTGTTGATCCTATTTTCAGAGTAAGTGTTTGTTTTATTATTCAGAAAAAACAATCTTCAAAATTCGATTCTGACAATTTTGACCATTGTCTATCTATTTTGCAGTGCTTTCTTCACTTTTTTTGTCTTTCTCTTTGTTCTATCTTCACTACTTCAGCACCGTCACAAACAATCTTCCTCTCAATTCCCAAATCTATCTCCAAACGATCTTCCACCTGAATCACAAAAAAAACCCATCCTTTCAATTCCCAAATCTAACACCAAATGATCTTCCACCTGAATGAAAAAAAAAAAAAAAAACCCAAGATCTTGCAGCTCTCCTTCCCCAAGATCTCTATCCCAAAAGTGGCCATATAAATTAAATATGTTCCACCCACCGCACATTGTCTGTCTTTCGCCACCACCCATCACCGAGAATCTCTCTTCCTCTTCCACGACCTGTAACGACCATGCACTTCGGCCTTGACCACTACCATCGCATGATTTGATACCATCCACCACTATCGTCGGGCTTCAAGGTCCATCGTTGCCCGATCTTGAATAGCCACCACCCATCACCGTGAATCTCTCTTCCTCTTCGATGACCATTGAACCTCGCCGCAATGCCCATGCACTTCAACCTTGGACCACCACCATCGCATGATCTGATACCATCCACCACCATCGTCGGGCTTTGAGGTCCACTGTCACCTGATCTTGAACAGCCACTGCCCATCACCGGGAATCTCTCTTCCTCTTCGACGACCGTTGAACCTCGCTACAACGCCCACGCACTTCGGCCTTGGACCGCCACCATCGTACGATCTGATACCATCCACCACCATCGCCAGGCTTCGAGGTCCACCGTCGCACGATCTTGAACAGCCACCACCATCGTTGGCCACCCTCCTCCAACGCTATCTCCATAGGCAAGTTTCTTTGCTGGATGTAGGTACCTTTCTCTTTCACTTACTTTTTACATCAGTTAGCACCTATATGTTTCATTGTCTTTTTACACAGGTTGGCACCTGAAAATACAGGCAACATGACAATATTTTTAGCTCAAAAATTAAATTTAAATATACATAACTTAAAGTGGGGAAAAACTGGTTAATTAGGTCCAATTCTACCAATCTGTTCCCAGAATTCATTAAAAATACAAACAACAAATTGATGTAAATCTTGAAAGGCAAAAACAACAAAAAGAAAATACCAATAATGAAAAAAGAAAAAAGAAAGACAACAATGTGTGTTCAGTGTTGTGTGGCGAGTTCTTGGATGAATTTTGAGAGTAAAAATTTTTGGGATTATTCCAAATATTTTTTTGGGATTTCTCTAACTTGTATATTTATTTTGTAGATTCAGCATCGTAATTTGATCGTAAGAACAAATTATGATCATATGCACAAATGTCAATATAATTTGCCCGCCATCGCAGGATTAATTACTACTTTTAGCAGAGGAGAAAGTTTCGACTTTTTTCCAGACTTAGAGTTCGTCATACACCCTGTTGGTCAACATTGCCTGTATCTTCCCCTGCATTGACGACTTCAAGTAGTGTTGGATCAAACGAGGTAACAATTTATCTGTGTTTAGTTTATGAGGTTTAAATGTGTGTATGTGTGTTGGTAATGTGTTTGCTAATTAGTATGGTGTCCCAATCTTGGTTGTCATTCTCACCATACTATTATTAGATGAGTGATAGTGTGAACTGGTCTGCTGAGATGACCCACAAATTTCTGATCCTGTTGTCTGAGCAGGCGAAAACTTCCCATGGTACTTCAATAAAAACAGCAGATTACCAGGAAATATTGGATGACTTATCATCATTGGCTAGGAGGAGACTCAACGTGACACAACTAACCTCTAAGTACTTTTGCTTGTGAAAAGTATATCAAGCATGGCGGAAATTGCTTCAACACACGGGCTTTGGTTAGGATCATGAGTCGCAAACTCCAACGTGTCCCTTATAGGTTTGGTAAGAATATATCAAGGCACATTTTAAAATTTTTAATTCATATTAATTAATAACACCGTATTTTTACCCTTTTTTTTTTTGGACTGACATACATTAATATATGTTTATTTTACATTACCAGCAAAACCCACAAGTGCAGCGATTCTTCCACAAGGGACTTCCTCACAAGAAGCTTTATGAAGTCATATTTGAGAAGCAAACTGCCACAGGGAGATATGCGTACACATCTACGTCTCAACTGGTGGAGAACTTCACTTCTTCCAATCAGGGATCGGTTGACATTGATGATAGTGACTTTGAACTTGATCCAGATCAGAGGACAGAGGAAAAACAACCAAACACATTTGGTCATGCAAGACCAAGAAATAGCAGGAAGAGAAGGGCCTGGGACAAACACTTATGGATGTCCTTGGTAGATTGACAGACGTGCTTGTGGAGAGGAGGAGTATGGGATCAAGGGCTAGCAATCGTAGTGGAGATGAGGGGGATGAAGAGAACACTAGTGCTCCATCTGATCTGTTTTCCATGAGCCATTGTATTAACATCTTGACGGCCATCCAAGTACCCACAGAGTTTTACATGCTGGTTTTCATGTACTTATATCAAAATCCAGGGTGGCGGGAGGTATTCGTAAAACATCCGCCCGAAGAAAAGGCTAATTGGATTTATAGCGACATTCGCAATTTGTAGATGACCCTGTATGTCCTAAGTGTTTGCCCACAGTTTTGTATGCTCCAGTGGGCACTTATCCTTTTATGGCTAAACCAAACTTCTGTTCAACACCTTGATTTGAAAATGTCCCTAGATGTCTGCTACTGTATGAACTTATTCATTGTGCTATTGTTTTATGTGAGATAACATGTTTCATATGAGTTTGGGATTGTCATTAGAATTAAAAATTGACTGTTATATTTTGCTAAGTACTACTACAACTGTTAAATATTGATCAATGTTTTGCAAATGTGTAGGTTTAAATGGCATCGCCTAAGTGTACAGGAAGAAGACGGCGTTTTGCAGATGACAAAGAAGAAATACTGACAGATATAACCATTGCACTGTGCGCTGTTGTCGTGTTAGAAACAAATGAGCATCAACTATGACATACATCTATATTAACTGGTCATGATTACATGTTGGAAGTACTCAATGGTCATGATGATAGAATCTTTGACAAGTGCCACATGGACAAAGACTGTTTTACATACTTATGTTACATTTTGGCATAACAAGGGAAATTGCAACCAACCAGGAGGATGAGTATGGAAGAACAAGTTATGATATTTTTTACAATCGTTGGTAAAAATGACAATCATAACAATGATGGAGGATTTCCAACATTCGGGTGAAATGATCTCTAGATATGTTGGCGAAATCTGCAAGGCGATATGTGAGTTGAAGATGGAGTTTATCAGGCCACCTGACTTCAGTGATGCTCCATGGGAAATATCAACCAACTGAAAATATTACCCTTTCTTTAAGGTACTTCTTCATTATGTTTTATATTAGTGGATAGTTAAGTTCATTGTGTTATTAATGTTGATAGTCGGTTAATATTACTAAAATTCAATTTTGATGATAGGACTGTATTTGAGCCATTGATGGCACACATGTATATGCTTCGGCTCCATAGGAATTTGGCGATAGGTACCGAAATCACAAAGGAACGTTGTCACAGAATGTAATGGTTGTATGCGACTTTAGGATGATGTTCAATTATGTCATCACTGGGTGGGAAGGATCTGCGCATGATTCAAAAGTTTTAAATTCAATTCTTGATGATCCTAAATTTGGATTCCCACATCCTCCACCAGGTTTAAGTATTTTCTTGACATATTATAGCATATTGGCTCCACTTTTGAGGCCTTGGAATTCAAATAACATGTGTGATTTTATTACAGGAAAATACTATTTGGTTGATGCGGATTATCCAAATAG